CAATACGTATCTCCGGAGCTCTTAACCGACAAGACGAGCAGAGCCTCCGATCTCTGGGCCCTCGGCTGTATAATCTACCAGATGGTCGCTGGTCTGCCACCGTTCCGCTCTAGGAGCGAGTACATGATATTCCAAAAGATCCTGAAACTCGAGTACGAAATCCCTGACGGATTCTGCGAGCTGGCGAGATCCCTCGTCAGTCAGCTGTTGGTGCTCGAGCCATCGCAGAGATTGGGTGCCCAGGACGAACATGGTGCCGGATATCCCAGCATCAGGGCGCATCCGTTCTTCGAGGGTGTCGACTTTGAAACCCTCCACGAGCAGACACCACCGCCGATCTATCCCTACCTACCCGGTACCTCTGAGAACGAGGAGCTTAGGTCGCAGTACAGGGTTCCCGATCATCTGGAACCCGGCCTCGACGACAAACAGCTCACGAGGCTTCTTGGTCTGGGCATTGGCGAAGACGATGACGACGACGACGATGAAGATACCACCACTGAGCGCGAGAAACCCGCGCAACCCAGTACGGTCGTCGAGAAACCGAGAAGAACGAGGACCACTGCTGACGGTAGTAACATCGCCGATCTAACGCCGGAGGAGATCAGAAACCGGCTAGAGAAGCAACGTGCCTCGAACCAGTGGGACTGCTTCGTCGAGGGCAACCTGATACTGAAGCAGGGCTTCGTCAACAAGAGGAAAGGTCTCTTTGCTAGACGAAGGATGCTCCTGCTCACTACCGGACCACACCTATATTACGTCGATTCTGTAAACATGGTGCTGAAGGGCGAGATACCCTGGAGCCCGGAACTTAGGGTCGAGCCGAAGAGCTTCAAGATCTTCTTCGTCCACACGGTAGGTTTCTCTCTCGTGGTCGCGCTTCTCTCTTTGTAACTGGCATTTTCGTTACGACGTTTCTATAATTTGCTGTCGTTACCTGTTACAGCCAAACAGAACGTACTATCTCGAAGATCCCGAAGGATTCGCATTGGAGTGGTGTAGAGCGATCGAGAATATGCGAGTCCATTACTACGGCCTGCAGGAGTCCACCGCTTAAACAAAAGACTGATGAACATAGATCGTTTCGGATGGAACAGAGCAAATGAACGTTTCACCGATTACGGTAATAACAATGTCCGCGAGGTGCGATCATCGATGTATTATTAATTTGTTTATGGCCAGAGGGGGCGTTTATTTAGATCGTTTGTTAGCGTGTAACTTGGCATTAGGAGAGGTACATTCTAGAATAGGTTAGCGTTTTTCTAACGCGTTCAAAGCACTGTGTACAGATTAGGAAAATTTTCTAGATAAAAATACAAAATATTTAGATAATAGTAGACTTCTGTTGAAATACAGAGGAATGAAGAGATATACAAAAGGCACAAAAAGTGTTATCGAAATCGTGCGATTGCCGGTTTTTTCACTAGTTACGTTTTGTTATTTATTATCGAACTCGCGGAACCTTGAAAAAGCTGCACGACGTTCCTCGCACGTGAACACACAAGGAATAGCGAAATTTTTAGCCAAGGTTTTAGCTGTGTGTATTCACAATGTTAAGCGCTGCCTGTGACATAACGTTCGTGATCGAGGTCGCCTGGCTGTCCATTACTTTCATTACGGGGAAAGGAAAATAAAGTCGTTCATCCGCGCGAATTTTGTTATTTATAATTCGTGACACGTAATCGGGACATCACAATCAAAATTTTATCGTGTTAAATCGACGCTTCGTAACTCTTTGGGAGAAGAAACGAGAAACGGTAGTACCTGGTTAACGAAGAAAGGAACAAAAAGAGTTATACTAACGTTAGACTAACGTAAACGGAAGCCAGGCGTATGTCGATTATTCGCGTTTAAAGCAGTGGCAGTATGTAGCAATTTTGTTCCAAATATAGCCAAAATTACATAGAAAAATACAGACGAGTTCTTTTAGAAGTTAAAACGACGGCGGAGTGACAATGTGTGATTCGTATGATAGTTTTGTGTTCGCTGTCGATTTTACGAATCTAGGACATCAATTTATATAGTCGAAGTTAACCAAAAAAAGATAAAAAAATGCAGTGGGGGACAACATTGCCGCTTTGCAGCTTTAATGAATAGTTTACGTTGCCTGAAAGGGATTCGCGGAATGTTGCGCGTTATTCCGTTGGATCCCTTGCTCTCTTCATATTACAGTATTCTTCTCGTTGTTCGTTACCCCTTTTCCTCCTCGGTACGTTGTAAATATTAGCGCGATGTCACGAAGAGCAGGCTTCGTAAAGCATATACTAATTCTATACATAGTTCTATATATTTGTAAGTACAAAAATCGTTGTCCAACCACGGCGTTTTTACGTTCGTTTCTTAGTCCGATTTTCTTCGTCTCCGATCTGGCCCTCGCGGACGCGATCGAACAATGTGTATAGCCGGGAATTAGAAAAACATTATTTAGGTCTTAATTGGAAGTAATGTTTAGTAGTTTAAAAGAAAAAAGATGCAAGAAGAGAAGAAGATTAGCGTTTGTTGTACAAAGAGAAGCGGTGGAGATGGGAAGAGTGCTCTTTTTGTTCTTTTCCCGTGAAAGACTTGGCACTTGAACACTATAAATTAAGTAGTTAGGAAATAGAATCCTTTAAAAAGGGTAGCTTTAAGAGAAGTAGTATCCCGTTTAGATTTGCGAGAATCACACACACAAACACATACACTACTACACTCGTTGCGTTCAAGCTATCGTCGTTGTCGTTCTTACTACTATTCTAAGTTTCTAATATTTAGTAACATAGTTAACAATATTAATTAATTATTTCATCGTATTACCAACGTATAAGTATTTTTCTCCCCTCGTAACTGTCGACGTATTTAATTGAACGATTTTGTTTTTTCATTTTTTTTTTCTCACGCGCGATCTTTTCTTAATTTATTATTCGCCGTAATTGTCCTACGTTTATTTATTTTTTATAGTTTACGTTTCCGCGTTAGTAAAGATCACACGCTTCGTTTACGTGTAGGCGTTCACATACAGACTTAGTACTAGTACCGCTACTACCACTGCGACTATTATTATTAGTGCTATTACTACTATTACTATTACTATATCTATTACTATCCCTATCATAGCGTCGTTGTTGCATACGTAGATACACGCATACGAATGCGTGCTCGTCGCGTGTATATACGCATGCACGTGCTTATAATACGTTCTGTAACTTATATTATTACTCTCTATCCTCTTTAGGCGTAATTTTAGGTATTTTGTAAATAATACTGCCACGTTTATCGCGTCGACTTGCCGAAACGCTATTCCTCGACTTTCTGGCGCTATCGAGTCATGGCCGGACTGTGTACGATACAGCTGTATATTATCTATACATAAATATTCTATATATACATATATAATTATATATATAAAAAGGTATATATATATACACACATAGACGCGTAAAATTATATAAAATATTTATGAATTGTGAATAGTAGTTAGGAAAATCGTGTATAAACGTTCGTTTGTAGATTTTAGGCCGAATACGCGCTTAGGTTTAATACTTTGTTGACGTTACCTTTGCCACGACTTGATTGCGCCGTTTCATTACACGTTGTACTATAAACGCATGATAATCCCCACGTTCTCCTCGCGATATTTAGGGAGACTTAAACAGGGTATTCGGAGAAGTATTCGACGGAGGGTGGTCGGTCGTCGTGCCTGCGACGCCGCGTGAGTACGCTCGAAAAAATGGTGATTCGTTTATGGATCAACATTGTCCTCGTGCCCAGTGGCTTTTCAAAATGACCGCTTTTGGCTTGCCACGTACGGTGCTTGCGGGCTAAAACGGGGCGCATAGGCTCGACGATCGTCCATCCTTGTCGTTTCTTTCTCTTCAACTAGTGAGAATCGATCGCGAGGAGGAGGTATTCGATAATTGTTGCCGCTGACACCCCCGCCCTCTCCCCGTCCTAATCCTTATACTCTTCGTACTCCGCAGAATAGCGTTTCGGTAGCGTTAGGTAAAATGAAGCAACAACACACGCAGTCTTTCTATCAAAACGAAGCACGTGTCGAGGACATTCTCAAAATTTAAAAAGCATGCGAAATGTTGCTTTAACAAAGACGACGCGGCGACGCTGTTTCACGGCCGAGTCCGATATTATAGTTCCTCGTTGCCTCGACCAGCTGCTTCCTTTCCGAAGAAAGAATGCGTTCACTACCCTGTCATCAACCCGGAGAATCGTTTTAATCATGGGTCGTTGATACGGAGTGCGACACCGGCGTTTCCATTGTTGTAAACTTTGTAGGTTCTACGTTTTATGTAGACGTTGCAAACTTTCTGATGGAAATGCGTAAATTTTTCCTAAGCGCTGGCTCCTGTCGAGGGGAAGGATGGTCGCTTATTAAATAGTTTTCCGTCGGTTTTGGAGACTGGTCTTGAGATTCCTAACCCCAAAGGGCGACGCTTACCTCCTTTTTTATTATAGTTCACTTGCTCTAACTGAACTTAAAGAAAATTTCTAGTGTATTTGTTGAGTGTCATTCGACGCAAAAGATCTAGCTAATTTAATTTATACGCTCGCGAGAGGGAAGAACGAATACTTAAAAAGATCAAGCAAGAATATGTGTATGTAAGAAAAGAAAACATTCGAATGCACTAATGTAAACTACGCAAGCAATAACAACAAGGCCTTGCGATTATTCAAATGCCTACCGTTTCGGCGTAACAAGGACGGTTCAACTATTAATTGCAGTATTATTAAATGTATGCAGACTAAAGTACACTTACACGCGTACACCTACACATCGGTTTACTTATACACATTAAATACTTCACATTGGATAAGAAGACTCTGTAAATAGTTAGTATGTAATTGATATTATAGGTGATACAACCTATTAATATTAACATCAAATTTATTTATAGTAAATTTTCCGAAATATCGCATATCTATGTGTTATTTAATTACCATAACCTTTCCTATCCTGTTTGAAAATTACCGTTTTATTCCTATATATTAAGTTAAAAGGAATCAATAAATTCTTGGTAAGTATATACAGAATGTATATTTACACTACAATTATTGTACATTATAAACTAATTACAAGATACTTAACATCATATGGCACTCTAAAAATGTCTTGACGACATTGGAACGTAAGTATTTAATTCCATTAACATTAATCCATATTGCATAAGAGTACATTTATTAATGAATTTTCCTGTAACTTAAGGAATTACCATATAAAAAGCACATCTAGTCATTTGAATAATTGATTATTTTCTTCGAAGTATTTTGCGTGCTACAGTAGCGATGGTTACTTGCGTAAAAACAGGCATAGGAAGAGATTTTTCTGATTAATTTGACAAATGCGCCAACAGATGCTTTTTTAAATCCGGCATATTCTTTGAAATGGTTGGGCATTTGTGACACTTTAGCGGAGTATTCAAGTGTTGCGCGCTCTCCTCCGATTTCAATTTTTTCAGTTCACCTTTCTCGCGTAACTGGTGGCAAATGTCTGCAATTTATAAGAAATGAGGTCTGTTCTTTTATTAAACAGACACAGATATATTTACCTGCTGAATGTAAGAAGAAGGGAGTTGTAAACGAATTCCAATGATACTTGGTCTTTAGACAAGGACTATTAAAATCTGTACTTATTACGTGTAAATGTAATCTGTGCATGCTTGGTACAGCATGGTATCCAATACTGCATCAAATAATATGTTTACGTGGTATTAGAGTGACTTAATTTTGGTGTGGGATAAAAACAATATCTATACATACAGGAACTCAGACTCTTTATGCTCTTGAGTTAAATCTTCAGCAACGCTATGCATGTGGAACAATAAATCTTCATTTTCTTTTTTTATGTGCCACAGAGATGGAATGTCTGCTTTTGGTATAACTAAATAGTGATATTGGGCTTTTGGATATTTATCTTTGATGACAACAACTTTATCATTTTCCTTTACTTTATACTGAGGATCTTCCATAGAAACAAGCAAACCTGTTGCCCAATCACGCCTCTTTGGAGCTATTACATCGGTTGATGTAACTTTTAGGGATCGTTTCATTATTATTTCTTGATTTTCACCTTTTGCAGACCGTAATTTCTACCAAAACATATACTCACACAGTGAAACAAATTTTCGGCACTTTGTCCATGTTATAAATAGCATAATGCAATAATATAGTAATAAAGTACTAAAAATAAGAAAGAATTCCAAATTAATTTAATATTATTTTAATCATATCGTAATTTTATACTTACCGGGGTAATGCAACGAATAAGATTAACTGCTGGTCAATAGTATTTCAATTTCTATGAATTTTATACTAAAACAAATTAGCGTATAAATATCTCAGAGGTTATGTTTGTGATGTGATATGTGTTATAAGGTACGAAAAGTAGATAATTATAGAGAGATTGCTTGCATTCTGTTTGGAAAGACGTAGTGTGTGCGTAATTAGCACTAAGCATGTTTATCAATTCTCATTTCCTTTGTATTTAATTAATCTTGTCCACTTCCGATCTTTCTGAATACGGAACAGCGTCAACTGAATTTGACATTTATCTACGCTCCGTTATTCCGAATCATATAATACGCATGCGCGTGCGTTCAAGTTCTTAGCGGCTTTGAATTTTGAATTTCTAAAAGGATTTAAATGTGTGCATTTTTAAAAGTAAAAGAATTTCCTAAGTAAATAGAGACGGGAAAAGAATAAACAGTCTATAATAACTTTAAATTTATTTATTTACTCAAATGGAAGGCAATCGATAAATTTGCAACAAATAAAAATAAATAACACTCTCTCTAGCAATAATTACGTGATCGTTACTTAAACGTACATTACAATAAATTCATAGATACTTAACAAAACTTATACCTTTTTCTTTTTCGCATGCTCATACAAAATATGTTCGTGTGATTGTATGTAGGTGTGTGTCCGCGCGTACGCATGCTCATGTTCGTATTACATTATCTTTTGTTACTTTCAGTACAACCGCACGTAGCATGTTATAAGTATATTTCACAAAAACTCTATATACAGACGAGTCTCGTCCCGTAGAATTTCATCTAATCGCTTATTTTTTTGTTGTTGTTCATATATTCATCCGACAATATTCTCATACGCTCGATTATACAAACAAAGACACTTTCACGCGTTTCACGACAGACTATCAGATTCGCACAGCCTGACAAATCAATCAATCAATCATCGATAGATTTCATGATTCATGATTCGAAGAAAATGAAATAATTACAGGATTACAATGCTAAGCAACGATATTTGCTGCAATACGTTAAAAAAAAGAAACAAAAACGATGAGGGATCGTACGCTATATGTTGGTCGATGGCGCTGGTCGTCCGCTTGCTTGTGATCACTTAAGTGCGATTAAATATCGTAATTGTTTTATCCTAAACATATTTGTACAAGCAAGCCCGTTTCATAGATGACAAGTCAGCATACTCATGACTCTAATTTACGTATGATACAATATTTTACAACACGATACAAACTTTTATTGTCATGGCAACGGGTGGTACAATTGTAATGACGAAGCGATACGCGGTGGCAAGGGGATTTTTGGCACGATTTTCTACCCCGATCACGCACCATGTTCTCTTCTGTATTTTCGTGGAAACATTCCTCTTTTTCCATATTTTCCCGCGCTATGGAGCTTAAATGCAAAATTAGTAGTGTAGTTACAAAGCGATTTTTAATATTTAATCGAATAAATGGGACCAGGTTCGATTTAAATGCACGGATTCTGAATTGATTATGACCGTAAACACGAGAGGGCACTGTAAATTGAATGAGTTATGGCGCGCGAAAGGTGGTGCGCTCGAGTTTTACTCCGAATATACTTGTTTTATTCACCCGCTTGTATTTGTAATTACATTCGATCGTCAATTTCGTTAAGATATTAAAGTATTTACGATCCGAGTCGTTTATAGTGATTGAGAAACACGTTAAGTGAGAATTAGTGCTTTGCAAAGGAACTACCGTAAAATGAGGGTGCATCGCGACTGATTGCTTCATTGTTTCTACGAGGAGCATGGTGTCTCGGGGCTGATACGATGTTTCTCTATTGCATGTGAAGAACGTTTGGAATGTTGCTTTTTGCTGCTTCTTTGTGCGATATGGGGTGAACGATGATGGTATGTATTTGCTTGCCAAAGTGCCACTTTCTATCGTGAAAATAAGGGACTACGCCTAATCGAATCAACAAAGCACTCTTCGTCTTTAGTATTTGAATTCACACATCGTAAAAAAATTAAGATACTTTTTTACTTTAACAAAAGTATCCTGAATTACAGAAATTTTATTGCACCGTACTGTAAAAGATTGCTTTGTGATTCAATCGCGGCCACTCGAGGACAACTGATAGCTTTAAGTGGGGTTTCAATTAGCACCATCGCTGATCTCATACGCTGATACCGTCTCGACGCACTCACGTGTTACATTTTCACGTATTAATCACGCTAGGTAACACTGTACGCATTCAACACTTTCGCTCCTTATTACCGATTTAGGCAGTGCGATCCTTTATCGTTACATCGGCGTACGAAGCCACTTGGTTCTGCAAAGAACGTCTCAGAGAAATGGAAGGCGCGTGGCTTCTTCCCTGGTGCTTTCTATTTTGCGTACGTTTAGTAGAATACAACATGAAACACATACGATACAAACATAACCTATACAGCAATATCTTGGCACAGTCCAATTTAAATAAACATAGCTGCATTTATCGTTTCGAATTGGGTACAATGCGACGTATAAAGTTAGGTTAGAAGCTTCGATCGGCCAATCAAAATTCTGAGACGAATCCTTCTTAACTCTTGCACAAATTTATGAACAAAAGCGTGGCTCGTGGTACGCGTAGCTTCGATCTCTTGCTCATTTGGAAACATGGAATGTCACAAAAACAACAAAAAAGATTCGTAAAGGGAAACGAAGAAACAGGAGAACCGCACGATACCCTTACATCGGTATACCTTTTGTTTGCACCCATTCTGAAAATTTCTATGCGATTATTGATTATAATATGTATGTGTAATCTCTAACATCACATGCTCTGCCTTAGAAAAATTATATATAGCTGTGCGGGAAAGCCGTCGATCTTGCTTCTTCTGGTTTTCCTTTTCTTCTTCTTTCATTTTTTTTTTTTTTTTTTTTAAATTACATTTTCCTTTTTGTCTTACCGAACGTACCTGTGTTTTCGAACTCAGCGTACACTATATTTTACACATATGCATATATATATGTATATCTATGCGTATATACATATATACATACATACAATTGTTTTACAACCGTTACAATATACTTATTTTCATAAATAAGTATTTCGATTATACCATTAAAATTGAATAAGGTTCTGTTTCGGAGGGATGTAGTTCGAAGGAAATGAGGTTGGAAGGGAGAAGCATACGAGAAAAACATATACGCCGCTTTCCCGTTTTCCTGTTTAACACACATGCTATTCGCAGTTATTAAAACTCAAGCAACACACGACTGTAGACTGGATAGTAAAAACTAGCTAAAACGTTCGTAAGGAGATTCTTTGGAGAATTTTGAAGATATCGTCGTTGTCGTCTTATCTCCGATCGCAGGACGCATTCGCCATTACGAACTCATCTTCGCTTTCTACATTCGTCCTGCTCGGACGATCATTCGAATCTCAAATGATTACAGAAAAAAATCCACGCGATAATGCGCGACCGATCCGATGAAACGAAAGAACGACGGTACTATGCATTGGTTCTTATACTGACCGAGGAAGACCAAAGTATTCGTGCACTGATGACAATTATCTTCTATTATAAAACCCCTTAGAAACGATTGCTTCGCGGTCTTGTTCTCACCCTTGCGTTTTCACGCTACGATCCTCTCGCAATTATGCACCTTTCTTTTTTTTCACGTGTTTAAATTACTCACCTAGAATTGCGGTTTCATGAAAATTATATAGCTAGTTATTCCTAGTTCAGTTTTCGTAAGAAAGTTCTTCGCTCGATATCGAGAAGCGTAAGTTGTACGCGTAAGTACAATAGTTTGAATGTCCACGGGAAGTTGCACAGCGCCGAACTCGCTAGAAAACAGTATCAGAGGCAAGCAACTGCAAAACGATTCATAAAAATGCACCAAAAGTAGTCACAGATTAATCACAACAAGTGTAGCACTTGGCTTTGCCAGGTTGTTAAGTTGTTTCTGTGCCTCGCTGGATCTTTTCGTTTTCCCGTTGATACGTGGATTAAGTACACAAGGCCGAGCTCCGAGGAAAAATCTCGGGCTAGGTTGCGAAGTCGACTTTGTCCCAAGTTAGTGACAGATCGGAAGACATCTTGAAGTCGGAGTCCTCCATGTTGAAGAGATCAAACGGGTCTTGACTACTAGCTAGCAACGGGTCGTAAATGTCTGTACCACTCGACAAACTTGTCGGTGGGGCTGGCTGATGATTCGACACCGTGGAAGCAGTCGGAGGAGACTGAGGCATCAGAGAATCCAGCCAGTCTGGATCGTCCATGTCCATGGGCATGTCGCCGATGTCCATCAACTCTTGGGGTGCTTCCATTTTTACTCCTAAGTCGCAATCCAATTGACTGAAATCCATCGTATCTAGAGTTTCGAGGTCCAACTCGAGTTCCTGAAACGAAAAATCGGTACGATATATTTTCCATTGACTTCGAAAACGAAGAAAAGCCTCGCTTTGTAATCGAATATACCTTGAGGTCTAAATTTGCGTTATCCGAAGAAGTTACTTCTTGAGGAGGCTGAGGATCAGGCGATGCTTGCTGGGTGGACTGCGGGCTGAGCAGCATAGCGGCGTCCAGGTCACCCTCCGAGGTTAGCAGGTCTGTGTTGAACGACGAGATCTCTTCCTGCTGCTGTAACTGTTGTAACGCGGTTGGCAGCTGGATAGAGAAGGTTGCCAAAGGCAAAGGAGGCGGTGGCGGTGGCGCCGGCGCCGGTGAACTCACGCAATCACTCTGGGAAACCTCCATGGCAATCGGACTGATCGGACTGATTGGACTAGCAGCGGTGAAAACCAACGAATGAGTCTGACTGTCCGCTGGTGCCGTGAACACCAAATTTTGTTGGAGCTGTCTGTTCGGTGTCGTTGGTGTGGCTGGGTCCTGCGCGGCGCTCGGTGGTAATTCGCCATTTTTGATCAGGATCTCCAACACATCGTCCACGACTTGACTCTTGATGTGACTCTTTTGAACCGGTTCAATTTTAACCTGAGTGGAATAGAATTGTGGAATAGAATCGATGAAGTTCTATTTGAACACGAATATAGTCTTTTCTCTTCCTTTTCATTCTACTACAAATCAAATATATCAAAGAAAGCAGACGTCTTTACCTTTAAAACCTTTACTTTTAAACTACTTTACCTTTAAAAGTTTTGCGGCTTCGTCGTACTGAGGAGGCGGTGGTTTTCCATCTTCGGCAGTAACAGTTTGTTGCTGCTGTTGCTGAGCCTGCGCCTGCGCCATCAAAGCGCTCAGCAGCGAGCCATTTAGTTTCGTAGGCTTGGGCAGGTTGAAAACTATCGCTGCGGGTATTTGCACGGTGGCACTGTTCTTGGTCTGATTCTTTTTATTATTAA